CCGTCATTAATGGAGCAATATTGTTCTGAAAGACTGATCGACGGGGGAGTTTTGTTATGAACGGTCGCATCATGAAATAGAGCTTCCTACAAGCCAACCCTCGGTCGGTGCAATTCAGCCACTTCATTGAAGAGAACTTCCGACGTGATCATGCCAACTCGTCAAATGGTGCGATCACTGCCCATAGGAGCTTTGCCAGCCGTGGGAGTTCAAATGGCCAGACAAAGCCCTTAGTGACGAGCGCGAGCAAATGGCTGTCCATGCTTGTGGCGTTCGAAGGACTGAGACTAACATCGTGAAACAGATAAATCATCCCCTATCACAGCCAGTCGCAAGCCAAGAATATTATATCTGGGAGATAGTCGGGACGAAGCGGGAAAACCGACTGAAATCCTCGGCGTTCCTCCTGCGCAAGATCTGGAGCGGTAAGTAACATAACACGATCCTCGATAGAAACTGAAAGATCAGTCCGAGATGTGGAATACCACCTTACCCACGACGCCCTTGTGCGTGAGGTCAAACGCCTCTGCGCCTTGATCGATTGTGAACTCTGTCCATCATTAGCACCACGTCTTTTCACGAATGGCAGCACTAACCTCGGCCTGTCATCACCTTCAGTCGTCCTTCCGCAGCTTCCTTATTCAACACCTCAAGGTCGCGGTGTATATATGCCGTATACTGGGCGACATACTTAGACCCCTTTGGATTCCGGGGGCGTATCAAGACCGCCGCAGTGTTGACCATGCACCGAGCGTACCAGGGGAGCGTTAGGCCCCAGCTGGCTTCCATCCCCGGAGCGCCGGGTACGGTGGTGATCTCTATCAAAGTGGGTGTGGGGCGCTGTGTGGCGAGCAGGGGAGTCCATTGGGCTGGAGCGCCGATGGTGGAGAAGACGAGATCGACGGATTTGGCAGGGATCACTTTAGCAGGGGTTGAGGTCTTGTAATCGATAACTGTGTCATGGAGAGTAAGCTAAACGAAGATTAGAAGTAGGAGGAAATACCTTCCACATACGGGTAAAGAGTTTTGATCTGCTCTACCTTTCCAGTGGAGACGGAGGTGATGATCTTCTTGAACCCGAAGTGTTCATGCAGGAGCTGGATAGCAAGATGGCCCACACCTCCCACTACCGACCCTCATCAGTACGATCGCCTCCTTTCAGATACATGCAGAGAGACACTTACACCCCCCCGTGACGAATGCGACTTCTCTCGCACCCTCGTGCCGCTCTAGCCCCTGAAGCGCCGTCATCCCATTCGAAGACAAGCAAGCTGCCTCTTCCCATGTCATGTTCACCGGTTTAGGCGCACAATACTCGCTCGAGGCGGTTATGTACTCGGCGTATGTGCCTTTCTTAGCCAACGGCAGTGCGCCGAACATGTCGTCTCCCTCTTTCCAACCCTGCGCCTGAGCGGCTTCTCCAGCGCGTACGACCACTCCAGAGAAGTCAAACCCCAGCCTATCGGGGAGGGAAAGGATGCCCAGGGGACGGTGATAGCCAGCGAGAAACCCCCATTCTGCCGGGGCGATTGATGCGCGCTTGACTTTGATAAGCAGATCGTCGGAGGTGGGAGCGTAGGGAGGCAGAGGCAGGGTTTGGACAGTGAGAGCTTTGGAGGGTCGTCCGTACGCAGTTTGCACAAGGGCACGCATGTTGCTTGGCAGGTCGGGGGACATTTTGTGCGGTCTTGGATGCTGCAAAATGAGTCCATTGCATGGGATACTTTATACAAACTTTGCAATTGTCGTTGTTCTTGAACGTTAGAGCAAGGGACGCGTACTTGTCTTCTTGCCGGGCGAGTAAAGGAACGCGTCACGTCCCCAAGTCAACGGCATATCCCTTGCTGTGCGAGGATATCTTGTGCGGGGATATCGTTAATGGTCCAGATAATGATGGATTGCGATAGACGTCGAAGAAGAAGAAAGAATGACAGTTCAAGGAAAGATAATGAGATATTTGTATTAGAGTACATGGGGTGGAAACACCTATGATGGCAAGGGGTGGGTTATGGGCCCTGGCTCTTTCTTGTTCGACGACCACCTCTTTTCAATCAAATATCATGTCTTCGTTCTCAATTTCTTATCGGGAGGCGCAGCAACAACACCTTCAATCCTCCCCAAGTCAACTATCTCTGAAAACGTCACTAGTAGTCAATGCTATTCTGATGATATGAACGGTCATCAACTGGGCCTCGAACTGCTTGCCCGCACTTTCGGTATGTCTAGGGACGCATCCGACACGCAAATATAGCAAGTATAACGCATAGTTTATATCATATATAGTGTGGAAACTGACGAGTTCTTCAGCATTCATATCCCAGAACATGTCCGACCCCATCAGCAGTAAAGGCACCCTAGTCCAAACCGCTTTCCGACCGCGTTCAAAGGCTCTCTCCGTGCAAACTATCCCATTCCCTGCATGATGTCCTCCTCCTACCTGCTTATCAAAGTCAAATTCTCCTCGATTGCTCTTACTGAATGGCCTGTATATATGCGTATCCTGGGCATTTTCTCCTTGCTAATCAGGGGTTGGACGCATTGTGCTCCTTGCCTGGGAATGGGATTCTGGCATTTCAGGCACGGGAGAACCATCAGGGCGACAAGAAGTTAGCTTTCGTCGCTAGCGGGCATACGGTCTTTTCCACACTTTGGCAGACGTGACGAGGCGCTCAGGCTGATGCATAACTAGAGTTCTCCCCTCAAGCAGGCGGCACAAACGTCCGATATCATGCACCAGGGTGTCATAGGCAAGGTCGTATTTCGTATTTCCGACTGCTGTTTCACTCCATGTCGCGGAGCACCTCAACGTTCCCTTCAGAGTTCAGTCCCACGACACTGGAGGGCAGATTCTCACTAGTCAATGTACCTCATCCGCAGGCAGCACGCAAGGACTCCGTCTTTCACCCACTGCATCTATCGTGATACTTGGGTCTCCCCCCCCCTATTCTTGGTCAAGTATTTCTTGCAGAAGATGTCCATGAGGACGTCCGAGCAGACTCGGAATCTGGAGACGTCCCCGTAAAATCCGTGATTTTCTGGGTCGTATAAACTGCGCGTATGTCCAGCGTAAGTGCTTTCACTTCCTAGTAATCGAACATCGGTTTGTGAGGTACTGACACGTTTCATAGAGAACCTCTTATATACGATGGAACTTTATCCTCCCTCACAAGACGAACACTGTAAATTTCACGTCCCCCATTCCTCGTCCGCCAGTACATCTGGTCCTCAAACTTTCCCCGCACGGGTCTCAGGGACTCGTGCCGTAATATGACGCGTACCCTCCCGCTCGGCACGGATTTTACAGGTTCTACTGCAACACTGGTTCAACAAGTTCTGGATTTCATAATATATAACGTATAACCACATCCACAACAGCCTCCCCAGATCCGAAGACACGATGTCCGACCTACCAAACAGCATGCGTGCTTTGGTGCAAACATCCTATGGCACCCCCGCCAAAGCGCTCACCCTCCAGACCCTTCCTCTCCCATCCTACACGCCCAGCTCCTCCGACCTCCTCATCCGAGTCAAGCGCGCATCGATTGCCCCCAATGAATGGGGGTTCCTAGCCGGTTATGTACGTATCTTCGGGGTGTTCACGTTCCCCGATAGGATGGGGCTCGATTTCGCTGGAGTGGTCGTCCGTGCGGGGCAAGCTGCACAAGCTCAGGGATGGAAGGAGGGGGATGAGGTACTGGGCGCGCTGACCTTGGCGAAGAAAGGCACGTATGCGGACTATATTACTGCTCCGTGTGAGTATTGTGTGCGCAAGCCTGGGTCAGTGGGGTGGAATGAGGCGTCATGCTTACCGGCGAATGGGATGACGGCGCTCCAGGCACTGGAGAAACATCAGGGTGCCAGGGAGGTCGCTTTTGTCACCGGGGGATGTGAGATTTCTCGTATCTTGGGAATCGGAGCTAGACTGACGTGGTTGGGCAGTGGGCGGAGTAGGACATCTGGCGATCCAATTGCTGCACGGACGCTTCGGGTTCAAGAAGATTATCACTTCCGTCTCCACAGGCAAAGTAGAGCAGATCAAAGCGCTCTACCCCTACGTTGAAGGTATGTCTCCACATACATCGTTTCCTGTCCGTCCCTCAGTAGCTGACTGTGCTTGCGCAGTTATCGACTACAAGAAGTCGAACCCAACCAAAGTGATACCTCACAAATCGCTCGACCTTGTCTTCTCCACTCTTGGCACACCGGGCCAATGGACGGCGCATCTCGCTACCCAGCGTCCCACCCCCACATTGATCGAGATCACCACAGTCACCAACGCAACGGGACTTGAGGCTAATTGGGGGACCAAATTCCCGTGGTATGCCCGGCTCTTGATCGACTTTGCGGCCTGGTATTTGCATCCTCGGGTACCCAAAGGAGTCAAGTTTGTCGCGCATAACACCGCGTTCCTACCTCAGGACCTGGCGGCTATGGTGAAGGAAGCTGAAGAGGGACGGCTGAACCCGTTGATAGGCACAGGTCAGTCGTTCCTGAGTGTTGCAGATCTCGAGCTGATGAAAGGCAGAGTTCACGCTCGAACAAGGGGCAGAGGCGTTCGACCTTGCACACAAGGGGATCATAGGCAAGGTTATATTCGGTATCTCCGACTGACCTTTCAGTACTGTATCGCGGGCTCTGTCATGATAATATTGATTTTCAAGTTGAGCGGAGCGGACATGGAAAAAGAAACAGCGGTACGGAATTCCACTTTCCGGGTCCAGGCCCACTTTCGCACGTCACTTCTGTAACGTTGATCATCGGGTATTACTCGCACTTCCGCCGTTGAAACGTGAGACAAAAGACGTGATGCCGCTCTGTTGGAACACTGATCGGCGGAGTCTCGGGCATTCCGTGATCATCAAGGTACGCACGCTGGTCCTCGTCGCCGCAGAATGTTGATTGACGTCCTCGAAGCAATGTACAGCACCGTCGCCGCCTCCACCCATCCATCTTCCGTCGCCGCATATCCCGATACCAACCCAGAGCAAAGAATGTACTTTCCCAGTTACTGCCGTCGACTTGGATAATCCTAGGTGCTCTAAGAGCGCCAAACTGGATAATCCCTCGGCGTTCTGAGAGCGTCAGCTTTGGGATAACCCGGGGAAGTACTTACGCAATTTTTTTTTGGATAATCCGTAGATAATCTCTGTTCATGCACACGTGAGGGGTAACGCCACAGCGTTGGATTCAGTTCGGT